GATAATCTTATAAGTGCATTAGAAACACATGCATGAAAGAAAAAACATTAAAATACATATCTAAGGGCTCATTTTCCTGACATCACATTATCTGACCTTTTCCGCTTGACTCATAGATATACTAGATATTGCAAATAAGGGAAACCATGGGACCTATGTTTCTTTGGGCCTGGCTTACTTCACTTAATATAATTTTTTCCAAGTTTTTCCATTTCCTAACAAATAGAAATTTGTTTCAACTCTCACTTTTAGTTTTTCACATAGTATCTGTCAGAAAACACATAGATTTCAACTTTAAAGAATCTTCGTCAACCTTGTTACCCCTTTCCTCAAATTTTCTCCTACTTTTCCTACCCTTAACCACCCCAAATTGTACAAATTATTTTCCAACATATTGTCTTGTATATCCGTGTTGCAAGGTTGACAAAAATGTACTCATTACCTTTTACTCATAAACTGAAACCCCTCTGTACATCACCTTGACAATAAAAAATGGAATATGAAAAAAGAATCTTTGTCTTTGATTCTTTAGCTGATTCATGATATTATTATCACAAAATAATCTTTACATCATTTTAGCAAGTGTTTGAGAATGTTTTTTTTTCTCCTTAAGTCTCTTAATAATTAGTATTGAGTGAAGGAAAATATTTGATTTTTTGATTCCATCAATTCTCCTAAAATACTTTCCATTATTTAGAGTTAATTCAACATAGACAGCATTCTCACAAATGCTTAGTTTTATTTTAACTCATCTCTAATACTTTTCATTTCATAAATATGTAAAGATATCCTTACATTTATTTTAGGAGACACTAGGGAGAATATGTAAGAAGAAAATGCAACATAGCTGACAACAGCGTTTGTTCTCACAGACTTCCATATCAAGCACAGTGGAAAAATCTCCTTGTTCCTGGAGTTCTTGATGATATATCTTATCACCATTGTGGGAAACCTTGGTCTGATTGTCATCTGGAAGGACCCTCACCTTCTCATCCCTACGTATTTATTATTTCATAAATGCTTGGTTATCATCCACCGGGACAACAAAGATACTGGTCAACTTGTTAACATAGAACAATTTATCTTACTGAATGCAAGATACAGTTTTCTTTTCTTTGTACTCAGTGTAATGACAATATGTCTTCTCTTAGCAACAATGGCTTCTGATCTCTATGTGGCCATCTGAAAACCTTTATTTTATCCATTGATTCTGGCCAACAAGACTGCATCTGGCCATAGTTGTGTCACCGGTAGGAGGTTTTTTTCATTCCACATGTCATGAATGTTTTTTATTCAGACAAACTTTCTATAATTCTAACATAATATAAGACTTTTACTGTGAAGTTATGCCATTCCTAAAGATTTCCTGTACAAGTCCTCTTAATTAATCATTTCTATTTTTTCTGGGTGAACACAAGCATTTAATATTGAGACTGTTCTTGCCTCTTATACATTTGTGCTCATTACAATCTTAAAGAGAACTCTGCCAAAGGCATAAGGAAAGCCTTCTCCATCTCTTAGCTGTGTCTTTATACTTTGGTTCTCTTCTTTCATATATCTGCTCCCTGTGTCCATACAATCAGATGATCACGATATGATGAAATCTCTGTTTTGCACTGACATAAATCCATTCTTAAATTCTATTAACTACAGTCTGAGAAATCAGCACATCATAGATTCAATGACAAACACATTCAAGAGAAATATTTACCGAGAGGACCATGATAATTAAAGAATATAAAGACATTTTATAAGTTTGCATACTGTTAAATGTAGCTTTTATAAATGTATTAAATGCTCTCTTTTTTTTTTTGTCGGTCATAGGGCTTGAACTCTGGGCCTGGGCACTGTCCCTGAGTGTTTCAGCTCAAGGCTAGAGCTTTACCACTTGAGCCACAGCGCCACTTCTTGTTTTCTGAGTGATTTATTGGAGATAAGATTCTCAAGGTCCTGTTCCGGCTGGCTTTGAACATCGATTCTCAGACCTTAGCCTTCTGAGTAGCTAAGATTACAGGCGTGACCCATTTGCACCCGGTCAAAAGTCCATTAGATTCTTTTTTTTTTTTCTGGTCGTGCGGCTTGAACTCTGGGCCTGGGCGCTATCCCTCAGCTCTTCAGCTCAAGGTTAGCGCTCTACCACTTGAGCCACAGTGCCACTTTCTCTTTTTTCTTTTAAACAAAACAATTACAAATTCATTAAAGTTAAATTTGAGTATTTTGAAATACTCAAATACTTTGAAATTACAATTGTGCCTTTTGGTGATATATGTCATATATATAATTTATATATATATATATATATATATATATATATATATATATATATACTTACATATACATATGTATGTGTATATATGTAGCTATCCTGGCTATTTAGCTAAATATTGACCTTTAATTAACAATCTTTGTATCTGCTTGTGATGTTCAATCATCATAACAAACTTTATTCTTTTTTTGTGATGCTGGATAATGAATTTTGTGGGTCCAATGGGTAGCTAGAAACACAGGGGTGAGTGAACACAACAGGCCTCCAATCTTTTACTTTGTTTTCAGGCTTGCAGGGGGATTTCCCACTGTTCCTAGACATAGCTTCTAAAGGACTCTTGCTCTGTTTAAATATCCTGGGCTTGAGGAACAAATGATCAGTTTATAACAGGTAGTGCTGCATTTCTTCTGTTGGGGCCACGTCCTGCACAGATATCTTAAAAAAATGTATGGTACAGGTGATGTACAGTGTAGTTACAGTCACATAAGTAAGGTAATAATTGCATTGATTTTCCTACAGTATTACCCCTCCCTAGTTTTCTCCTGCCTTCTCTCCCCCACCCTAACTCCCCTTCCCTCCAACTTTTTACAAATCTGTCCAATTGTTTTCTATTATTTTTTATTGTCAAGGTGATGTACAGAGGGGTTATAGTTACATAAGTAAGATAATAAGTAACTTTCTTGTCAAACTTGGTAAAGGCTTTTGATCCTGTGTCAAAACACAATCTCAATTCTTAAAGTTCCTATGGTGCATTTGTAGTGTAATATTAATAGATGTTAAGACCCAAGCTCCTGCCAGGCCTATTCATATATAATAGTTAATACAATGCAATACGTTACAAATAGTCAGTACATTTCCTGCCATAAGTAATTTACCCTTAACTTTTGAGGGGAAAATCTCTACTTGTAGTTTGTTGGCTTGTTTTTATCTGTGTTGTAAAGGTATTTTTTCTGTGTCAATGAAATTCTGTAAACAGTCTCCTAAACAATAAAATGTTTTGCAGAATATGAAAATATGCATTTGTGCCTGTGTTTAACAATAAATACAATGAACAAAACTCTATTGTGTGATTATAGTTCTGTCTCAGCAGTGTTCAAAACAGTTGGTGGAATTAGGTGGAAGACATCCTTTAACTAGCACATATGTTTTGCATAATTTTTCTTAAGGAGAAATGTAGCATATTGCACATCTTGTCAGAAATAAAAATTTGGATAAAGTACATTCTTTATATGTTGTATGGGCATATTCATATTTATATATGTGTGTTTCTGTGTAGCAGTGTGCATTCTTATGTATGTATATCTGATTTATATTCTATACATATTCATGAATGAATTAACTTGAAGAACAAGATATCTGTTATAAATATACATATATGCATATTTGCATATTATCACAGCAATGACAAACCATCAAAAGTTACTGAAGAAGAGTGTAAGTTAACCTGAGAACTTAGTGTGAAGAATTAGCTGGATTCATCTTTGGAAAAATGAGAATATCAGCACAATAGAATATACAAGAAAGATTTCACCGAAATTCACTGGCGATCTGAATTTAGGATGAGGACTTCCATTGTGACAGTAAAGTATGGAAGGTAAGTGTTAAGAAATAGATAGGACAGAGCTATAAATGGATAGTTGAATGGGATGGAAAATGAGGAAATGTAACATACAAAGACTTCCTTTTTTCCTGGTCACTTACTAGCAATAATGACATAATTTCCTCTTAATATTACCTGAATTTGCATAATATTTATTTCAAGCTCTTTATAGGAATTACAAATTTCAACAACCTTTAAATGCTACCAAGAGTTTTCTTTATTCTTTCTATTTTAATTGGTTGTTCTTTCCCATACTCAAATTTCATGTTTTCTTTTCTATGTCTACTAACACTCTTCTCTCCAATATATTAACTTTCTGGATTAATAAGCCTCTTCAGAAGTTTTCTCTCTGAGAAAATTCTCTTCTCTAGTGCAATGACTTAGAAACACTTTCCTATATCTAGTCCTCTTTCCACTCCTTCAAATTTTTCTCATTTTCCCAGATTCTGTTACAATAAACAGTTATTCCTCAGTTGAATGAGATTAATTTTTCTAAGAAGTTCAATTAACTATTACCCCAAAATGGTGGAATTATAAATGATTGCATAATATGATATGAGTCCCAAATATAGAGCAGAATTTTCTATGTAAAGTATAATTCCAAGTCCTTTTCATGTAATCCAGCATTTCATAACATTGTGAATTTATAATGTAATGGCGTACAAACATAAAAGTTTCCTCTGGGCCAGGAAGGTGGCTCAGTGGTAGAATGCTTGCCTTGCATGCATGAGGCCCTGGGTTTGATTCCTCAGCACCACATAAGCAGAAAAAGCTGGAAGGGGCTCTGTGGCTTATGTGGTAGTGTCCTTACCTTGAGATGAAGAGCTGAGGGACAGCGCCAGGCCCAGAGTTTAGGCCCAACTACAGACAAATAAAAAAATAAATAAATAAGTGAAAATAAAAAAATGTCCTCTGATTTTGTTATAATTCATGCCATGTAAAATAATACTTTATTAAAACTTTATGCATTATTAACAATATATATGTTTTTATAAATTAAAGGCTAAAACCTTGATTTTTCATGTTCTATAGCAAACATAATTGCAAACAACATTGTGCATGACACAATACAAATAATTTTCTTCCAATTTTGAAACTATTTTAATGAAATGAAAGCAGATAGTAAGATAAGGTCTAAATATTTCTTTTCATTATTTTTTTCAGAGACTGTATGACTTGCTTGTTTCTCAGACTATAGATAATTGGATTTAAAGCAGGAATTATGACAGTATAAAACAAAGAGAGGAACATATCTTTGTCATCTGCTTGTGAAGATGCAGGATGCACATACATGATAAGAAGGGGACCATAGTACAAAGACACAGATAGGAGATGGGCTCCACAAGTGGAAAAGGCTTTTCTCATTCCCTTTTCAGACTTTGTTGTTAACATTGTAAAAAGAACAAATGTGTAAGAGATAAGAATAGTCATAATGGAGAATACTTGTATTGAACCAGAGAAGATAAAAAGCATGAGATAATTAAGAGAAGGATCTGTACAGGAAATCTTTAGCAATGGTATAACATCACAATAAAAGTGATAAATTATGTTGGATTTACAGAATGCTAATCTGAATAAAAAACTTTCATGAATGACAGCATGAGTTAAACCACCAAAATATGATAAAACTAACAGCTGCTTACAGAGTTTGTTGGTCATAATCACTGGATAAAGTAAAGGTTTACAGATGGCTACATAGCGATCATAAGCCATTACTGTCAAAATGAAACACTCTGCAGTTGCACTGACTGCAAAAGAATAAAACTGAATCATACATTCAGAGAAAGAGATCAACTTGTTCTTGTCTAACAAATTGAGCAACATATTCGGTGTCACTGTGGATGATAACCATGTATCCACAAATGCTAAGTTGCCGAGACATAAATACATGGGGATGTGCAGATGAGGGTCCTTCCAGATGAGACCAATCAGACTGAAGTTTCCCAAAACAGTCATAAGATACACCACAAAGAAGAAGAGGAACAGAGGGATTTTCCACTGAGGTTGATGTGTAAGTCCTGTGAAAACAAATTCTGTCACCACTGTCGTATTTTCTTTTTTCATGTCTTCACTGGATGTCCTAAAAAATTAAACACAATTAATACGAAATAACATTCACTAAGATTTACAGTCTATATTTTATGGATGGAGAGTTGAATTAAGTTAGTATAGCTTTCATCATGTACTCCATCTTACTATTATAACAGAAGATTACTAAATTAAAAGTGACATTTAAATTAATTCAGTTCAATAAATCTGTAGGATTTGATTGGAATGAGAGGTCTTCTAAGCAAGCTTCTGACTTATAAAATCACTAATTAACATTGGATATTTCATTGCCTGGACATGGTTCATGTACTATAGTAAAGGTATTTGTGGACCCTAGATGTTAATGTGAAGGGATTTTAACATAATTATTCAAGAAATAATTTTCCTCTAAGTTGTTTTAACATGTGTAATTAGGTGAGAGAACATTTAAATTTAAAATTTGTAGCATATAAAATGGCTTTAGGGAGAGAACCGTGGAATCAGGGATACTAATAAGGGACTGCAACATTCTTAGAGATTCTCAAACTAGATTAGGTATATCCATAGCCTGGAAGAGTCTATGCTAAAAAATAGATTATAAATTCTAATAGTAGAATTATAGTCAATATTTCAAGTATATATATACTTTACAGTCCCTTGAACATCACTGCAGTCCCTATTTCATGCATATTATGACATTTGCAATGAAAAAGTAACAGAAGTAAATATAAGTAATATAACTCAAATGAATTCAGAATGTATCATCACTAGGATTGAAATATATATTAGCCAGATTTTAATGGTGAACAATGAAGCAAAGAGTAGTAGCTTCAAGAAAAATAAGCCTTCAAGAAAAAGAAAATTGATATAGGTCAACTGGTTTCCTAATATGTACAAGACCTTGGTTCAATCATCACAAAACATTAAATGAATATATACATAAAAGTTAAACAATAAAATTTAAAACCTGTTCATTGTCTAATCTATTTAAGGATCATGCTCTAACATCCACTTGATGTATATCTAACAGATTGAAGAATTAGTATGACTTAGATGTTTCCAGAAGGCTTGGAGGCATAGTTGTGAGTAACCTAAACATACAGAAAGAAAGAAAGAGAAATAAGATACAATTATATGGAAGCTATATTAAAGAAGTATGGACACCATGTATTACATGGGTACATATAAGCCCTTTTCTCAGATGAATTGCTCATATAATTCTTTCTGAAGTACAGAAATTAACAGCTATTCAAGTAATCAGAAAGTCTTAGATAGATTCTCCTTGCACATAGATTTAACATTATGGTTTTTGGTCTATTTTTCCCCAGTCAAAAACAAATTTCTAAATCCTCCTTTGTTTTTGACTGCGGAAATGTGGCGATCAAAAGACGGAAGTATATGGAAAGAAGGAATTCTGAGGTGAAACTTTCATGAAAGAAATGATACACAAACATCAACGGCTTTTCTGTATGCTAACAATGAGAAGAGCAAGGCTGAAATCAGGAAACAACTCCTTTTGTAATAGCCTCAAAAATACCTAGAAATTAACAAAAGAAGTGAAGGATCTCTATGATGAAAATTTTAAGAAACTTGAAAAAAAATTAAAGCTTATATAAGGAAGTGGAAAAACTTCCCATACTCCTGGATTGGGAGGATTAACTCCATGAAAATGGCAATACTGCAAAAGGATATCTACTTTGATAGGATTATTTTACTTTGATTTTGGTGCCCTGAATATTGTATATATATTTATCTTAATTCGGGAAGGGAGGGGTATTACAAAATGGTGAGACAAAGGTGAATGAATGCAATAGTGATAAATACAAATTTGACTATGGAGGAAATGAACTTTACAACTTGGTGGAGGTGATTTGGGGGAGGGAAATTAGGAGAAAATGAGGAAGAGGTAACAATGTTTGGACAGGAAGTGTACTCATTACCTTGCTTATGTAACTCTAATCCCTCTGTATATCACCTTGGCAAATTAAATTAAAAAGAAACGATACCTCGAATTCAGATATTTTTATGACCAGAAAAATAACAGCAAATGTGAGTTGTAACATCTGAAAGGTACAATGGAAATAGCAACCCTAAGTGAGATAGGTTGAGTATAATTTGGGCTGTTTATTTGCCAGGCTTCTTTATTTTCCTATTCACTTTTCTATGTGAGTATATGAACTGTCTAGTGTCAGTCTATTTCCATTTAGTAAGGAAATTTCCCATTGTTACACAGATCACTAAATTGAAAATTAAGAGAGAAAAGTCACTAGGAAAATCCTCTGAGTAAAATGATCCTATCAAAGTTCCACAAAATAAGATGACATGAAACCTTTTCAAAAATGGGTGGGGGTGTCTGAATGAAGAGGAAAAGCAGGAGAGGATGCACTCAAGAAGGCAAAGTATATGCAACAAAATTAAAAGTGAGGCAAAGGATGGTTAGGAGAGGGATGCATGAGAATGCTGAAAGGGTGATATTGATAAAGATATAGTGTATTTATAAGTTGCCTGGTTAACAGGAATAAAAGAACTAAAGGAGGAACAAGAAGTCTAAACAATTTGGACATAAAGAGAAAGAATGGGGGCTGGGAAGGTGGCTCAGTGGTAGAGTGCTTGCCTTGCATGCATGAGGACCTGGGTTTGATTCCTCAGCACCACATAAGCAGAAAAAGCTGAAAGTGGTGCTTGGCTCCAGTGGTAGAGCACTAGCCTTGACCTGAAGAGCTGAGGGACAGTGCCCAGGCCCAGAGTTCAGGCCCCATGACTGGATAAAAAAAAAACAAACAAAAAACAAACTAAGAGAAAGAATGAACCCAATATAATAAAGTGGGAAATAGTGCCACATACCAAAATAAATGCTCTAGTAGCAGAAGCCTTAATGTAACGAAACATAGAGCTTTTCTATGACCCAGAAATCCCAATTCTGGGCATTTATGCAATGGGACAGAAGCTCGGCCAAACTAAAACCACTTGCACAACCATGTTCATTGTAGCACTGTTTACCATAGCCAAGATATGTAAAAAATCTAGATGCTTCCCCGTGGATAAATGGAACAAGAAAATATGGTATATATACATAATGGAATTCTACTCATCCATCAGAAAGAATGATAATGTACCATTTGTAAGGAAATGGAAAGTCTTAGAAAAATTATAGTAAGCCAAGTAAGCCAGAGCTAAAGGAACATCCACTTCATAGTTTCCTTCATTTGTGGTGACAGGAATGTGCTTATAAATCTATCAGTAAACACACTGAGTCACACACACACACACACACAGTGGGACATGGTAAATTATGTAGGAATCTAATCATTTACATTGAGAATAAAGGAGACTATGCATAGGATTGGTGGACAAAGGTTCAATAGTTATGTGCAGATGAGCATATGAAATAATATTCTATAAAATCAACTCCAAGAAAAGGAAACAAGAGACATTTTAGTTGCTATGATTGTTGTTTGTGCTTCCTTTTGTCTTGTTTGCTAGTTCATTGTATTTCTGAAGGTAAGGGAGGGCACATAAAAGGTGGAACAAAGATAAACAAATATAATGGTACTCACTAGACACTATGTGGGAAATGGATATCTTATGTGTGGGGTAGGAGGGAAAAAGTGGGAGTTAGTAATGGAAAAGGAGACACGATTCAAAAAATGTACTTACTAATCATTAGCTGATTCATTTAATCATAACCCTTTATATATCAACTCTACAAAAACAATTTTAAAAAACAGACTTACTGGACATATTTGAGTGTAGAAAATTAGAGATGTGTTTTGGATTTAATGAGGGCAGTTTCACATGATAGAATTCAAAACACAGAATAATTCAGAATGGATGGAAAGAAGCAGCATCACAGTAAAGAGAATGAAAGAATAGACTTAGTAAAATAAAAAACAATTGGTAGATACATATTATATATTCAATATAGTATATTTTCTTGTAATCTATTTTAACAGAAATTACAAAGAAAAAACTTGCCCATGTAATTGTAGCCCCTCTCTACGGTATTTTCACAATTAAAAAAAAAAAGAAAAAAACTAGCCAGGAATATGAAGTATAATAGGACAAGTGACAATGAGAGATATGCAGATGGTTGAAAAGAAAATAAGAGGAATTAAAATAAGCAAAGAAATAAAAGAGAATGTGGCCAAGTGAAGAAAAGACAAAGTAAGAGACAAAGCATCTAATAACACTGAACTTGAAATAAAGGGGAAAGCTTTCAAGTTCACATACAAATGTTCAGATTACTTGAAAATATACTCATGTTTCCTGGCTCATCTTTCCATATCTAAACATCTCTATATATTTAATTATGAAAGCAACAAGAAAATGGTAATTATATTAACAATATATTATATTTTATGCTAGCAGTACTGATTTTCAAAATGAAGAGGAAAAATATTATTAAATAAGATGATGGAATGTATAGTTTTTGCCTACATGGATTGCTTCACTATGTACATGTAAACAAAATATACTGGGTAACTCAAATATATACAGAAATATATATATATATATATAAATAAAGACTAATACATATTTACAGACAGACAGACACAATTCCTTGTCTTTGTTAATGGGAAGACTGAAATAGGCTTTCTCTAAAAACCATTTTTTTAGTGTGGCAGCACTGTATTACTCATCAACTACCATCAGCAAAATATGCAATTGAACATAGGAATCTTATGAAGTCGATATTGATAACTATTAGCAATAATTTCAGTTTGGATATATTTTACTTACAGTTTGATTTTCTCCAATACTGCAAATAACTACATAAGCTAAAATGATCAAATTTAATTTTATGTGGGAGAGTTTGTTACATTCACAGTGTTGGAAAGGGTGGTATATTGACTTATATACAAAATGCTCAGTAAAATATTATCAGAGGTGGGTGAAAATATAGAACTAATATTAACTGACTTGGAAAACACTTTAGGAAGAATACATGATAATTGAAATGCAATAGGCCATTTTATTAGAAGTGACAGGAAGAGTTCTTACATAAGTACAGTACAATGACTTGAATCTTTAAGCCT